GTAATGTCGAGGTGCTCGTAAGAAATTACACATTTCCATATTGCAATTCAAACAAAATCGATGAAGAAAGCATTACCTTGCAGAAAGGAGTGTGATCAGTTGCACGGCACCATACTGGAACATTGTGTCTTGCCGTGTGGCACACAGATGCATGATTAGATTACCAACCAGTGAGGTAAGCATATTGGTTTGTTGATTCGCTGTCGGCAAGATGCCAATTATTACAGGAGCACACTTTTGACTGTCACCCGATTCATCTGAAAAGAAAAGGAACATTTATATACGCTAAAAGAGCGCTGCACTTGGGCATAACTAAGCGAAGCAATGAAAGAAGAATATTCGGACTGCCCGCAGCAGACCAACCACCAGGTGATACAGTTGATGAAATGGAGCTGCGCTACAATAAAGTGATAGCAGCTAACCAAATTATTGAAATTCTCACCGGACAACAGGCAAAATCCCAAGTAGACTTTTTTTCCAAAAAAAAAACAAGATAAAACTGCCTATTTTATTTTCCAGAGAGGAATCTCAAGAACATGAAAAACATGTTAAGGAGAAACATAAAATTCTTTAAAATTTTAAGAAAAATGCGACAACTATCATCTGTCGTGCACGGATTAGCTTCAAAACAAATGAAGTTTTGACAATTTGCTTTTGTTGTGTTATACATTGTTATCATATTTCGAAAACGAAAAAAAAACACGTTTTCGAATGATCGCGCATAATGTTAGACAAACATTGTGGGGACCGCCAATGAAACAGAATAGCCACTTGAACGACCGCGTGAGCTAGACGGGTGCAACGGCTCCAAAACTGAGAGCAAAAACGTGGCTTGATGCATCGATGACGAGATGGAAAACAACAAGCCATTCAAAGTATCCAAGTGGGCCGAGGCAAATAAGAGCGCAGATTGTCAAAATGTAATATTCTTCTCTTCAAACAAAATGATTTTTTGTCGAAGAAGCCAAGCCAGCAGCCCATCCAGTGCAAATCATTTACATTTTCACTAAAACATGTGAGAATATGTCTAGCATCATTACATGCGGGCACTGGGGACCAGAGAGGCATGAGGAGCAAAGGAAGGAGGAGGGGGGAACAGTGGCCCCGGATGGATAATGAATAGAGGAAGTGAGTCTAAAATAATGAATGAGACAGATGGAACAGTTCTGATGGCTAGCACTAGGCACTTCATTATCATCTTGAGGGAAACCTAACAAGCCAGTATGGGCACCTCCCCAGCTGCTCAGCTCGCCCACTCGTCGAAGAGGTCGCCTTCATTTCCCTCATTCCCTCTGTGTGAGGAAAACACAG